ATAACGCGAAATCTGTCCACCAACCACCATAGTTTATTTATTTCATTACCATCTAAATGTAAAGGCTTGAAAATAATTTATAGAAAACAAACGTATGTTCGCCAATTTATCTTCTGAAATTTTCCCTGGGACTTTTCGCAAATTTGAAACAGTTTTAAATGAAAACAGCTCAAGTAGTTGGTTAGCGGAATTTCTCTTATTTCGACACGAAAGCATTAACGTTTCTCCTCCTATGTCGCAGCTGACCAAGAGTTGCGGTTTTAGTGGAGCCAATTCATAGCGTTAGTCCTAAATGGGGCACCTCTGGCATCGATGTTAAACAAATTAACCTACCAGACATAGATGGCTATTGCGATGCGTCTGGAGTGTTTTAAATCTCTGCAATATTTGTATTATAATACAAAAGTTTTCTTCATTCTTTTACGCCCAGCCCGCTCTTCTCACCCTGGCACATGCCCGATGACGATCAACCAGCCTGCTTTATTTATATGGCGCGCGAGTTGGTTGGTAAAGAGATGTAAGTCAAAATTTATCACTTAGCAAACTAAATTTTTGGTATTTTGCTAGCTAGCTAGCTAGCCAACTGGCACTCCCTGCTTGTTTTTCCACTGTCTGCCTGATTGAAAAGGACATCTGCGTGCTCAGATCTGAAGTCGTTAGCATAGCGCTCGTGGCTATTGGTTCGAAGACTAAAAAAAGGCAAGGGAGACTGGAATGGCCATTTCTGGCTCATTGGCCTCCATTAGATACTCAAACACAATCCCAAGTGGTGCACCATCCCGGGACATTTTGATTAGAGGTTTAATGCTCTCACGAACTGAGGCAAAGGTTCGCATCCCAGGTATGTGAAGAAGTATGAGGTATGAGAAGACGTAGTTTCGATCACCGGAATCGTAGTGATTCCGGTTTAATGCTCTAACACTTGAACCACGAGCTCGTTGTCTTGTGGAGTTTAGATACGTAGATGTTGACACTCGTTGATGAACGTTTACCGATCGCTAGCGGAACTCACTCGCCCCGCTCCGTCTTGGGTCGCATTCTCAAGCTAGTAGTCTAGACAGATTGCATCGCCAGCGAAAACTAAGGAGACTGGAATGGACATCTTTGCCTCATTACCCTTTCATCAAGCAGACATACCCAACCCCAGGTGGTTCGAAGTCTTCTATGTTAATTGCATAAAGCACTAGCTGGCCGCTTATATCATACGCTGTCCTAAAGTCTCGGTACACTCAATACTGAAACTTATGAGAGGAATTGCTAAGTTATTGGGAAGGTTATTTTCAATCACGGAGGGGATTCGTCGAGTCAGGGGAATTTTTGTGGATGCATAAGTTTTAAATACACTCGATAGTTTTGTGGTTCATGAGAAAAAAACAGTCAGCAGCGTAGCACAGTTAATACTATTAACAAATCAGGAGAAACGGGAATGATCATCCCGGATACATAATGTCATAGACAGACACCCACAATTCTACATCTGACCAGACAAATAAGGGCCTAAACCCGAAATATTCAGTTCTCAAGCACTGATGTCCGGCTCCAGTTAAACTTGACGAAAAACCAGATTTAATCCAGCAAGCCGGATGCAGACTGAATTGCGTTTCGTATGGTACTGTCAAACTGGCCTCTAAGACTCAAACACATAATAGAATTAGTCACTAAATTCGAAAAGGTGACATTTGAGTAGAAGAAGATTCGATCGCTGGGACAACACTCTTATTCACCATTATCAGAGACCTCAGCAGAGACTAGTAGCAGGCGGAGGCATTTTTTTCACACAGCGAACGAAGCACTATGCAACTGACTCTGAACGATCTAAATTAAGACTTAAGAGGTAACTGGGCGAGCATTTTCCGTTAACTGTTTGGTGATCCTAGAGAACTGTAAGTTTGCCAACCCGGTCTGTGGAAACCCTTCCAGGTACTCTTTCGTTGCATATATTCACAGTCAATGGCCGCTCTCATGAAATCCTAAACACAATTCTCGAAATTTCAGAAGATAAATTAGCGAATATACGTTTGTTCTCGATAAATTCCCGGCAGACCTTTAAATGTATATGGTAATTAACTAAAAAAACTATGCGGGTTGGTAGAAAAAATTGTGCGGTTGTCAGAGGAGGTGGAGAATCGGGCTTAAAGATCTGATCAGCGTTAGAGGAAGGGGACTGGCAGCCGAAAGAGGTAATAAGCTGCGAACTGTTGGATTAGCGGTTTTTGGCCATGGTATCTGCGGCGCCGTGACGAAGTTCTTTTGGGCGCACAGGACCGGTCGGTGTAGCTAGATGGCGGACACTTCTGCCGTAGCCAACAGACGCTGTCCAAGGAATTTTGAATTTTGAAATTCGTTTTTGTTTAAGAGGGATTACTTAGCAAAAGGGTAGCAACGTCGATAATCGGAGAGCATATTCAAATGACAGCACAGTTATTGCGTGGTGGCGCTTTTTGTATCTATATCGTTCTTTACCGCCTGATAAAACAACATCGGATCAAGCACAATCACTCAAGTGATATACATTTTTTCTATTTATTTTCGTTGCGCTTACAACTTTATACATAAAAAAGTAAAAATATGCCATCTTGTACGCATTTGGTAGCAAATTACGTCTCCTTTAAAGTATAAACACAGGAAAATGGGTATATAAAGTTTTCAAAAAATTTTCAAATATGGCCACCATTTGTACTTTCAATTAGCATCGCATCTTTTCTTTTTATAAGTGCTCCTCATGAAGTCTACAGCACAGCCCACATCATCGCAAAATGTCATGGACGCCAAATGGCCTCTTTTTAATGGCATGCTTTTCAATGAACATAAAGCAGACGGCTTGTAGACTGAAAATGCCTAAGGCTAATGCAATAGTTGATTGGACTAAGCATTATTCGGAAAATGGAAAACTTTTCGAAACCTAAATACACCCTTGCTTAAAGCATGACCTTGGAAGAGAACCTGGTTTACTGTCTTATGAGTAGAATCAAAATTCGTTTAACTTATACCTCTTTTCAAACACATTTGAATTTAGAAGGGCATCGAGAATCAACAGAAAAAATAAACTACTTTGGTAGTCATATTGTATCGAGTGCCGTCTTTACAGAAAGACAAAACGTGATGTATTCAAGAGCCGGCATTCTGGCGTGTCCAACATATAATCTGATTATCCCGTAGGATGACAAAACTAAAGAGTATACTCAGGTAACCCTTCCTAAGCAAAAAGCGTTTTAGAGTTTTGGTAAGCATTTTATTAGACCAGCCGGTGACTATATATATATATATATTTAAATGTGGCGTTAGGATTTAACTAGCTGAAGACGGCTGACATGCTAGCCTTGTTTCTGCTTCTCAGCATTTTCTTTGCATCAGTACTGATCGATATGCAATAACGTTTGGAGAACTAGGGATTATAACTCATTTCCTCTGTAATTTAGCGTTTATAATTTAAACTTATTAACACTGCATGCAGCCCGTTGTTTGGTAGATCAAAACACATATTGATGCGCATTAAAAATCGGGAATTGCATTTTTCTACACGAAAGCCCGTTTGAAAGTTCAATTACTGTTAAACGCATCTATCTCCATCAAGGGCGCTTACAGAAAAACAAAAATAGGTGGTTCGATAATTGTTTCTTACTTGAAGTACGGAAAGAAAGAAACCTTGCTTTTGATCTGCTTCCTTAGTTTGTCATTGGTAAGCCGCTTCCGTGGCTCATTTTACGGTTTGCTGCTGTGTCCGTTTTTTTCCAGTGGTCTCATCAATAATTGACCGACTATCTATTGACCACTTTCATTTTAAGGGTTTTGCTAGAGGTTGTCGATTTTTCCTCAGAACGGCGGCACTAATGATCACAATCGGAAGATCCCAACCGACAAAACAACATAATGCCAATTAAAAACGCCAGTAACTGAGTGTAAAATGCTCAGGTTGGACTGAAAATGCTACATCTGGCCTTCCGACTGTTCAATTGCGTCGCACATAAACGCAATAAACATACTGCCAGCGATGTCTTATACACATTTCGTTTTTCCCTACTTACTTTGTCGTTTTGAGAGTTTCTTTTTCCTTCGTAATGACACCGTAGTCTGCGCGTCTGCTCCCTACCTGCTGTGCTTTTTCCAGCGTCTACAAGCTAGAAAAATTTAATCATTGTCTATTAGATTACTTGTGTGTACCGGCCAAGCTCATTATCCTGAAAAATGGCTCATGAACGCTGTCGGTTGAATATAGCTAAATTGCGCATATCTTCAGCTATAAATTTTCAGATATTTAATGCGTACAATGGCACAGATCGCACGCGAGTTAAAATGCACTTACACGACTGGATGTTAGTGACACAGTTGGCCTGATTTGGAAACCGTTTTACATGTCGGCCTTTTTACATCGACGACTTCCTTATTTGCTTAAGTAACGAAATCACGCACAACATAATCCTTTAAATTCCTCTGTATATCATAAAAATCTCTTTGGACGTTGGGTATTCCTGCTTATATCGTCATTGGCGAAAGTTGTCTAAGAGAGCTCGGTTGTGGGCTTATGATCATAATGTTTTGTTTTTGTTCACATGAGGCAACAGTAGATAAGTAGTGCATCTCAGATATCCCTAGTTCCAACATTTTGTCCTACGGAAACGGTGGTTATAGGGGTTTTCTGGATGAGGGATTAGGATAGGCAGTGGGATATACTTTAATAACTGCTATATGTTTTTTTTATTTTATTGTATTTAGAAATTTTTTTGATTTATATCTTAAGATTTTCTTAATCCACATCATCGCTTAATGTATTGCGGGAAAACCCGATTATAAAATTGCAGTTTTCTTGAACTCCCTGAAAAAATAGAAATGATGGTTAGGAGGTTGTCTACTTCAACTTACCTGAGGTCCAATTTGCCGTTCAGTAATTAGATAAGTATAGTCCGTGACGCGACTCGCCGCCCACACCTTCAATTTACATGCTGAACAATGTCCAGCGGCCGCGGGAAACAAATTTGACTACATTTTCTGCTTTCCACTTACTCCTACACATTTCCATCATTGTTCCACCTCAAATCCCTATAACCGTCGTTTCCGCAGGACAAAATGCTGGGACTAGGGGTATACGAGTAGGCTTACATAAGCTACTTTTGCTCCACACGATTTTACTGCTGTCTTGATTAATATCTCTGGCCTGTTCCATCTCATTCAGCATGCCATCGGGAAGAAGTCCTTTTGTGGGACATTGGGACACTTTCTGCTGCTGGTGCAAATAACTTATTTGGGCCCCTAAACACGCCCGCCCTGCGCATAATTTTAGAAATGGTGAATATTTCCATGTGCTAGCCCCTAACTCCAGCTCTACTAACAACCTAAACCGTGACATTATTCTTGACCTCGACGTTACCCGAAACCCTAACCCTAAAGTGGACGCTATCCCTATCCCAATCTCAAACTTAACCGTAACTACAAACCTAACCACTTTGCTATGGAGTGCGGCACAAAGGAATTTTATTGCCGGCGGCTCCATTTCTAATGCCCTGTTTGGGGGCAGGGTGGGGTTGACGCACAAGTAATCCCTTCTCTGGTGCTGTTTAAACCAGTTTGGTGATGTGATTATTTTAAGCACTTTCAGAGCTGGAATAAATTACTGGTTTTTTGATCCCTCCTGTAGGATTGATGAAACCGCCATGATCCGGTTTGCGCTGACTGTTCGCAAAAACTACCGAAATGTGACTTACCATAACTGGTTCCACGCCTTCTCGGTGGCGCATGCGACTTTCGTGACTGTCAATAGAGAAGATGCAAAATTTTCGAAATTGGAGGTCAGTTGTCGCTAATGTTTGCCTCTTGCCCACATATTTTTGGTGGGAGATGTCCTTTTCTTTTATCGTGCTCTTCGGCAGAATCGTTTCTTCTAATACCACACTACTAGCAAAAGTGTTCAAGCGGATCTATGTATTCCTCGTCCAAATTATGTTCAAAATCAGATTAAATTTACAAAGAACGATTTTTTTATTTTGACGGTTCCGCAGCCGGCCTCGCAGCCACCCATAAGGACAGGTAATAAAGGAGTTTAAAAGATGCGGACATTTTCTGAATCAGTACACATGCCGCGAGAACCGGGGACGGTGAAGAGATATTGAAGGCGGTTTAGGGTAGCACGTGAAAAGATAAAGAATTAAAATACATCGTTTCGGAATCAGCTTTATCACCCAGCCTGTACATAAGTTGAGTGTTGTTCAACACATTCAGATCCTAAAAGCAGCTGTCAGACTGGCTTAATGGTGGAAGCTTCTGTAAAATGAGAAAATGATGATATAGAAAATATTTCAAGAGTTGCCCGCATTTGGTAAAATATCTTAACCAGAAGACAGGAAATTTCCGTTTGAGCATTTAGTAGCAGGACACAACTTGAAAATTTGGAAACCATTTTCTCTCCCGGAATGTTTGTAATAACCTCAAAACTAAATTCAAGACAGCCTTTACTGCGTTTCCCCTAGAAATATCGGCACACACACCGGGAACTATTTGCCTTGCTTTTGGAAACCCATAATCATCGGAAAATCTTTTTCGTTATCTAAACGAACCCAGCAACGTCTGCCTAGCAGAGCGGGGATGGCTTTTTATAACTGAACCCAGGAAAACAAGCATTATTTACATTCGGAAGATTATGCAGTCTTGGGTTTTCTTGGGTACCATTACGGATACTGAACAGCTTCTGGTGTTCCCCTAATATAAGTGAAGAAATTCTGGAAAGCAATCACTGTCAGGTGGTGGACGCCGCCAGTGCCATCACAGGTCTCTGAAATTCAGTAAGGGACCTCCTTATCTCAAATCAAAACTCAGTTTTTTTATAATTTCATGTACTTTAGAAGTTTTGCCTCCTGGTGGCTTCCCTCTGCCATGATCTGGATCACCGGGGACGTGACAACAGCTATCTGCGCAAAAATCACACACCCCTGGCTTCGCTCTACACCAGCTCTCCACTTGAGCATCATCATTTTAACATGGCCGTAACGATACTCCAGGCAAGTCCCTACACTTCTTTCTTTAAATTTTCAAATGTACTCAGCTTAAAGTACGTTTTTTTACTAATTAGACATTTACATTTCGCCCCTTTAGCAACCTGGAAACCAAATCTTCGTTGCGTTTCACGACGCCGTCTATCTAGAGGTAAGCTTTTTGTGGGCATGACTTTGCGTAAGCTTTATTCCTGTGGTGTCTTCGTCAGCGAACTCAATCGAAATGCCATTCATCCTATTCACTTGCATCTCTGACAAAACTCAATAGAGAAAATTACAGCAAATGCATGGTTATTCGTTATGGAATGTAGGCTCAAAATAAAGGTGGTTGGTTTACCGCTATACTAAACTTCACCCTAATTATTTGCGGACGTATATATAGGGTTATTGTTAAGCTCTGTGGTGCATTCTGTTATTAACATGGACAGGTTCTTTGTACTTCTAAAACTCGAGTTAACTGTTTTGACGGGATTTCCAGTGTTTTGGGGTTTTTTTAATTTACTTTCAAGTTGCAGACGTCTAAGCAGCCTTATATGACTTTTAATATTTTTTAATGTTTTATTTTCATATAAAGTCCCCCGTTATGTATTTAGAATTTTTTGATTCCTTTGGGTCACTTTTAGACTGTTTAGAGGCATTTCGGAAAATAAGCCACATTTCGCGGGTTATGCCACGCACTTTATGTTGGTCTTTTGACACTTATTCGAAAATGACGTTTCTTTAAGAAATTCGAATAACGTCGTTTTTCCTTGCAATCGGCGAAGATTATTCGAATGATTGCTAAAATAACCAAACAGATCTTACAAGGAAAATCATGTCATCATCTTAAACGAGTAAGCTGGTATTCTTCTCGAAAGTGGAAATTGGTCATTCGCACAAACTAACTATGCCCTTAACCTTGACAGCCATTCGGGGCCTTAACTACCTATGCTTCGAATATTCGCTATCATTATGGTGACCTCATGTACTTAAAACCTTGTTTTACGTGATGCCTTAAGGTCTTGCGCTGAGGGTTTCCAGATTGCTTAGCAGTAACGCTCGCCGACGTAGTCCGATAAATGGACGTAACACGAGGTTTGTGTTGAATCCTAGCGACCTTCGAAGAGTGGAAAAGCGAACGGTGATGAAAACTTGAGAAGTATTGCGGACATGGTGCAAAGATGCTGAAGGGATGGGGAATCACGCTCCCTTTTAGCCATGAATTTAGTCGGGAAGTTTTTGTGTTTGTTGCGACGCACTACGCAGACGGGTTTGCAGAAAGTCAACACTTGGCTTTTGTGATTCAGACAAGTCTGCTTTACCTCTGAAAACTTCGTCTTGCTGCTTAAAAATCGCCCAGGACCGATAAATTTACCTCACCGTTTTTTAGTGGCACAGTTAGCCGATTTTATATCTCCATTTTGCATGATTGACCATCATGACTACGCAAAACCCAAGTTTGAGCCTAGACAGTTGTTCTCCCCAAAAGTCTAACTCCGCATGCCACAACAGCGAGCGGTTTGGGTAATCAGTGTGTCTCCCAACATTTTGTGTGGTTTTTTCTTTTATAAACTCCAGTTGTTAAATTTCCACTTTCTGATGTCCTGCCAAATCAATGCACTTAATAGGAATGTATCATCACCTATGAAACGCTATTGGCGCAGTCCGCAAATCGATAGGAGGGCTTAAGTCGACCATCAGCTTCAGCCTAATAACTGTGTCATATGCAGGAACGACCCACACGTAGCTAGTAGTATACATATGTTGTTTAATTTTTATTTTCCGTTACTTATTGATGCGGTCTACTTACTTAATTTGTCTTATTACCAGTTGCTCTAGTCCCCCGACACAAAGTCTTGTTTTCAGCGGAGGATGGCATTGATGGCTATGCTTTTACACAATGCGTACTAACATGCAGTTTGCAGTGCAAAATGGGCGTAAAAAAGAGGAAAGGGTGTTAAGCTGTTTCCTGTAAATTTCTTAAATCACTTTTTCTGCAAATAAAAAAACAGTTTCAAATGGGTGTTCGTCGATACCTGGCGGTTTAGGTCCTCATGGGTTGGGTCAGGTTCATATTTTCTACCTGGGATATTTCCAGAGCTCTTGAATGCAAATAGGTTCTTCGGATAATATTTACTCTACTCTCGTTTCTTGCCGAAACCTGGAGATGTTTTACGTGTGGATGAGCATAGTTTATTCATCCATCGCACCAAATTGACTGTAAGTCCTTCATATTTGCCTATATTTGTGTCTCGCCACTGTGCTCTGAGGCAAAAGTAAATATTTTCATCAAGTAATCGTTACATCTACCCCAGTTCTAACAGATGACGTTCATGATATGCGTCCGTTCACATGAATTTATAGCACAAAGAAACTGCCTGTCTCTGCATAAGGCCCAGAAAACTTTGTTGTCCGTGAATGATTTTTTCGTTAACAATTCCGACGGCGGACGTTTGGTGCTGGCGAAATCAAACAGTTAGCAAATATCTCGTTGCGAGGCTGTAATTAGTTGCCGACAATTGCCAACAGCTGCCGCACTCCTCAAATTTGCGTCAGCCATTCTATCCGCATATCCACACGCGGCTCGAAGATAGAGCATCTGGAGCTCGCAATGTTATTTAACGTCCTTATGCCTTAAGGCGAGTAAATATTATTGTTCTAAGGGCCCTATAATGAGCCGCCATATAAGGATGCGCACGCTGTTGACGATGGTGGCGCTGGTATTAATATTAATAATGAGTAAGGGGTGGAGGAAATTAAAATACACGGCCTCTTCGTTAACTTAAAACGTGTCCTTGATAACATTTGAAGCCTGTTTTACGCGCTCAGAAGATCGATTGCCAAGCCGCAAGTGCTTCAATGATAAGGTCCTACCACATTCAGTCCTGTCTGGTTGGTACAATCTATCCGGGTTGACAGAAGATAGGCTACTTTGGCGAGCACTTCCATATATTAAGAACATGTCTGTACTCGTTGAAAGACACCTGAGGAAGCTCCAAATTCAAGTGGAGCACAAACCAACGACTAGATTGTGAAATCAGCTTTTTTCCATGCCAATTTTTCATGTCTGCTTTTATATAAAAAGCCAAAGGAGCAATTTTTAGTCTTTGTGAATTTGAGTACGGACGATGGGGTCAATTTACCTGTGTTTTCGTTTTCGGCACTTGCACTAAACACCAGCATTCACCTGATACTCAGCGTTCTGCGCTAGTAACTTTTACAAAAGTTTTAAGTGACAGATATATGCTATCTTTTTTGTTTAACCCGCTATATGCTCGGGCAGATTTTTGACAGGGGATTAGGTTGCGCTTCAAAGGATGAGTCGGTGACCTGGAGTTAAGACAGTTAGGAAACGTTCATTTTTCACTTCTAGAATTATCCTCCAGCACACATTCTCCATTACCAGCACCTGCATAAATCATCCAAAATGGACTCTATTTAGTCACCATGATCCAAGAGGTGCAGAATGTCCGCTGCAATACTATGATACTAAGGGGTTAGGTTTTTGGTGTGTCCCGAGTGTTCCCTGTTTGGTTAGTAGCGTAACACTAGTTTACGCATTGACCGCTACAGTTTTGTACGACAAGAGTACATAAACTTTAAATGAAGTAATCGGACGCGGACTCGTTTACGGCATCTGAGGCGAGTGCTATTGATATAGGTGATCGAGTTTATAACACACATTCGTTTTACTCGGCTCCCGACAAATATATCGTCCCAGGAAAGCACTCATAGAGCCTTATTTTAACGGATTTAATAACATTTATTTCGGTGTCGTTCAACCGATTTGCAGTCCGTAAATTGGCCTGCTGTTATCACCCGTATTCATCATGTTCTGACAGAATTTTTAAATATCGTGTATTCCATCAATGAACAAAAATATGAGTTAAAAGTTAGTTGAAAGTTCCACCGAAATCACCGACCAAAATATTGTAATTACCAAAAGGAATCACATCGAAGAAGTTTTTTACTTACTTCCACTGTGTTTGCCGCCTAATTTGAATTTAAATTACGCCATAAAAACATCTTATACGTCCTTCAGAGTACATTACGTCGGTGACCCCAGAGGCTGTTTTAATCCATTTTTTACAGCGTTTTCCGTAGTTTTTATTATTTTTGAGATGCAAATTCTTCGCGCCTATAAGGAACTTCCTTGTTTACGTTGTAGATACTGATGATTATTAAATTTGCAATTCTTTCCACTGATCTTTCGAATTTCGCAAAGGCCAAAGCACGTTTGGAGAACGCACTTGATCAACCGGGTGGCATCGATTGGACCAAATCAGATGACAGGCAACTTCTTAGTATTCATGCCTAATTTTTGATTTTTAAATTTTATTCCAGATACATATAGCAGCTACAAAAACGCTCAAATATTTCAGTAGCATATAAAGGCCTTTTCTAGTTTTTTATGCCCATAGTAGTTACCAGGAGCAACACAGTTACGGTTTGGGGAATGAATATTACAAAATTGATTCAATTTGACGCTCTTGCTGTGCGCGGATTGTTTCCTGGAATTGGTAGGGGTGATTCTTCCTGGGGAAAC